CCCGCTCCCGCTCCCGCTCCCGCTCCCGCTCCCGCTCCCGCTCCCGCCGGGCGGCGGCGCGGGCTGGGCCCGGGGCGGGGGGGAGCGGGGCCCTGCGCATCGGGCCCGGGCCGCCTGCACGGCCTGGGCCTGGCAGGGCCTGGCAGGGCCCGGCAGAGCCCGCGAGCCTGGCGTGCCATACACCCTGTCATAAAGTGAGGAGGTCTAATTGGGCTACGGCGCCCTATCCTGCTATTTGTACAAATAAAAGACCCCGTCTTGATGCAAAATAAACACAAAAGCGCTGTTGTGACTATAACAGGGAGTCATATACTAATTTATATAATAAGTGGTTGTGCACGCTTTATTCAAGATTATGGCTGCAAGAAATGGCATGAATTGCTGGGTGTGTTTAATGCTGGATTATAGCAATTTGAAACATGTCAAACACATGGCTAATGCCTCATGCTTCACTCATTCTTGCGTAAACCTGCATAGCCACCATCCATTATACCCTTGGTAACAACACAATTCTGCAAGTAAATATTGTTACACTAAGTAACCTTTCAATTCAAGTTGTTTAGGAAGAGAAAATGCAATCTTGTGCAGTCAGTTCCAGTGTCAGTTTAATGTTTCAAAAGGGAAGTGGTGTAGAGAATAAGTATCTGTACAGTGACTTGCTGGCTTAAAACATACATGTGTGCACGTGCGCGCACACAAAAAATGTACAGTTCACTTCAGAAGAGAAAAGTAAAAATGTAGCTTCTAACTTCACAGGAGGAGTATTTTTTTTTCTTTTTTTTTTTTTGTATGGGTGGTAGCATGGTTACCCAGGCAGTATTAGGCATTCAACCTGCTGTGCAACCACTCACTAAAATAATCTACAATTTCACTCTCTCGTGCACAGAACAGCAAATATTTTCCCCATACTTTTGTTCAAAATACCAGGTAGCAGAGCTTATATCTCACCTTTGGCACCCAGAGTTACGGAATCACAGAAGTAGGTGCTGGTGAATGTGTCTGTGAATGTGGGTGCATGTGTGCCTGTGTAGGCACGCTCATGACTGACAGCAAGTGTGACAGCAAGAGAAAAAGAGAAGGATTAGAAAGTATAAATGTGTATAAATGTATGTAAACAGGGACCTATATATTTTTTCTTGTCCTGTTGGAATTCCTAAACTTTCAGCCTTAGTATCTGGTAGTCATCCTATTTCCTTTGTATTTATTTATGATTATTATGCTAACAATCTCCTCTACTGTTGTAAAAGCAAGAAAAAAAGTGCATTAGTTTGCTTAGTAAGATGTTGCAGGTTCAAATTGTTTTGCCACCAATAACTCAAATTACTGATACATAGAGTTCAGAAATTATCCTTGTTTAAGTCTTTTCTGAACTTCAGTTTCGAGAGTTTAGAGTTGATAGTACGTACACACACGAGTGCATAGATTCATGTATATACATATGTGTGTGTGTATGCAAGAGAAGAGAAAAGAAAAAGATTCTATTCTCTTACTTTCTCCAGCAGCTCTTTTTTAGTTGCTGGCAGGGGGAGGGGGGTCGGCTGTGCACAACCAACACAGAACATTACTCAAGCCAAAGTTTCTGTGTTGTTTTTGAAAATACCCTTTTACAACTAGAAAAACCCCCACACTTTATTTTTAACATAGAATTATAGGGATTCTTTTTTCTTCATATAAATACTTCAATATTTCTTCAACTTCATTTCGAAATAAATTACTCTTTCTAGTATTGTTACTCTATAGTTTCCTTCTGTCTGTACACAGCTCTTGGGTCAGATTTGTTGTTTTCTGTTGCCAGAATAGTTACTGGTCATGTTACATTAAAGCAGATTCTGCTGGCTCACAGACATTTTAACTTAAAATGCAGAGCCCGAACTACACTCTGGGGCTTTACAAGGATACAAAATCCACAAGACATAAAACCCTTTGGTTAATATGAACTGGAAAATGTTTAACCCTTCTCTGCTAATTGTAATGAAAGAGTCAGAAATTTATGAAATTTCTGGATGTTTTCTAGTGTTTTGATTATCTAACATTTAAACCCCTTTGCCCTTTTCATGCGCTTGGCTAAATGTACCACTGTTATTGTCTAATGTTCGAATTTGTAAGATGAACCTGTCTGTTGGTTAAACCTTTGTTTGACTAAAAGAGGATTAATGTTTGAGTTTCCCAAATTTCCAAATCCTTGTAACGATACAGTTGATGAAGTGTTTTAAATAAATTTCCACTCTGATATACATATCTTTTTATTGAAAGTAAATATTGTAAAAATCGGAAAGGGCTGTCTGCTTCCACAGTTGTGGCATACCCGCATTAGAATTTTCATATAACTACTAAGGGCAATCAGACCCTTTTCTCTGAATATTTTAAACATTGTACATGTAAAATTTATGCCTAATTTGAATACTTATTAGCTGCCTAATCTCAGAAAAGAGTATTAGCTTTGTTTTTGCCTTGTAAAATTCATCACTGCATGTATCATATTTTCCATTTCTATTATTTTTCTTCATTGATGTTCATAGGTGTTTAAGAAGGGCTGTTTGTTCATAAACACATCTGGTGCTGCTGTTGTTTACTGGGCTATAACAGCTGCCCTCCTTTATGTTAACTGTGTTTGTGTTTAGGATTTTTGTATCCTGTTTTTTTTCTGACCAGACCATCCTAAATAACTCATCTTTTGCTATTTTAACATTCTTCACACAATATATACTTTCACTTTATCTTGTAGGTGCTTGTTTGTGGTAACTCATACTGCATTTTAATTAATATCCCCTGCACATTGTCAAAGTTGTAATGATCCTTTTTTCTGTGTTCTTTTGTTTGTTTGTTTGTTTTTCTCCCAGCGAAAGGCAATTGCTCATACTTTGCAAGGGAACAAATAGCTAAGTAAAATAATTAGGCTAAGCAGCAAGCTTTGTTTCCTTTCCTAAGTTTGCCTACACATCCCTCTCCCTTCAGAGGTGTCTTTTAAAATCACAGCTCAGCCAGGTTGTTGTGAGGACTCTGTCAGTACATCAGGAGTGAGGATGAAGGAAAGTAAGGTCCATTCTGACCCTGTGAGAGCAGGAGAGGACTTCGGTGGCTCTGAGAAGAGACACTGACCTTTCCATATTACAGATACAAAATGCGCCTTGAAATTCTGGTTTGTAAGGGCACATTGGTTCTTTATTTACTGCAAAGATTTCAACTGATCTTGGCAGGACATCTCATTGCTATCCTGAAAGTACAGTATATTTATGCAGTGAAAATGATAAAACATTTATTACTGTAGAGAAGGTAATATGCATAATTTATGCTGTTTTTAGCACAATCATTAGTGATATTCTTGATAGATTTTATTTCCAGCTTTCATATCTAATACATGCCTGGAAAATTAATTTTATATCTTTCATTTATTTGCCTATGTTAAAATTGAGTTTTAAGTCATCTTCAAGTGAACAGTTTGATTGCTGCTCATGCATAAGCTTAATTACTTCCCAGGAAGGACAGTATTAAATGTTTTAAATGTCAGAAAAATAAATGAATATCAGCCGTTTGATTAAAAAAATAGGCAATATCTGACATGTTTGCAGCAGGAGCTTTTTCTTAAAATGCCTCCGAGGCAAAATTTTATTTAGTCACAAAAAAGGAGAAGCCCATTATACTATTTATCATTGGTTGATACCATATGATTTGTATCACCCTTACAAAATTTTAATTTTGTATGATTAGCTGTGCATCATTAAACAACAGCCTTGCATAAGATATGCTGTAAAATTCTGACAGAATCAAGATAGTGAATATTTTAAATAAGGCTGTATAGTCATCCATGGTTGTCAAAGCTAGATAATAGGAAATATAGAGCAGTGTGTGAAATCGTGCCTTCACTTAAACTGGTTTTATAGGTAGACTTTAAAATGTAGTCGTTCATAAATGCTATTGACCATGCTCCTTGCGTGGTGTGTTATTTTGGCCGTTAAAAGTAAGCACACAAAGCTTGCTTATAGAAACCATAATTCCGGTGATTAGTAGCTGCATGAAATCAGAGTTTGCATCACATTTCTTGGTAAACGGCTCCTTGAGGCTTTTTTCTTCTTCTAAAGATGCTGTCTGTATAATTGGCAGAGAGGGACATCTTGATAATGGAAGTGCGAAGGTGTAACGCGTGTGTTAATTGATACTTCTTAATCACTTTTAGGTATTAAGTCATGATGCAGGAATCTGCGACAGAGACAATAAGCAACAGTTCAATGAATCAAAATGGAATGAGCACTCTAAGCAGCCAATTAGATGCTGGCAGCAGAGATGGAAGATCAAGTGGTGACACGAGCACTGAAGTAAGCACAGTAGAACTGCTGCATCTGCAACAACAGCAGGTAAGTTTGTTTTGTTTCCTGTTTGTTTTTAAACAAATAAAAAGGCTGTTTTCAGAGGGGCAGCCTTTTGCACACCCTCGGTGTGTGCTGAATGTGAAGTGTTGTGGAACTGAAGAGTGTGGGGCATTATTTGTTGTTGTTTTAGTGCACGTTAATGTTGAAATGCAAGGGTCCCGTTCTCGTGGTGGCAACATATTGCTGATGTGGCTGCACGCCACCACACTCACCCGGTGATTAAAGTCCCGCAGTGTATTTATAAAAGTTGTGCTGAAGCCTTGCAGTGTATGTTTTCAGGAACTGTTAGTTTACTCTGTGATTCGGTAGCGCAGGACATGGTGCAGGGTTTTCCACCAGAGGGCCACATTACTTGAGACTTTGCCTCGTTTGCAATGAATTGAGCCAAAGTCAGAGCTGGGCAGTGAAGGGACCTTAGTGAAGGGAACAGTCACTTCTCACAGTGAAGATGCTTTGCTGTCGTAGGTGTAAATAAAAAATGCTGGTTAGTTCAGAAGCACCGAAATAAAAGAGAGAATGTGTTGCTGCCTATGTGTGTGTGTGTGTGTGTGAGTGTAACATGGATGTGTGATTTTGAAAATATGGGAAAAGAGAGAAGCAGCTTTTCTATAGGTATGTTTCCATTCTCAATTTTAAAACATTTTTTTTAAGTTTATCTGTTTGTGTTCTCAACAAGTTAATGGAGAACTGCTATGTTTAAAACTGTAAAATTAAATTGTCCTCTGGCTGCTGAGGCAATCTAATTATGAGATGCAATCCATTAATTTTTGTCACTGTAAGATTTCTGTTCCTTTTAAAACCTGTGCAAACATAACTCCTGCTTTGTGTGCCTAAGGAGTTGCCCCCCCATCAGGGGACCCAGACTGTACTAATGCAGTGAAGCCCAAACAGTTTGTTTTGTAAACAATTGGAATCTGATTCTGCAGAGTGCCCAATACCAGCTTCGAACTCCTGAAGTCTTTGGTTACTTGTCTTCTCATCTGCTGAGGCCACTCAGCACCTTGGGAGTTTAAAACCTTGATTTTAAATACTGAGGCTTTTCATTACAATGTCAGGTATTGCATTAATGGAAGGAGAGTTGTCTCCTGTAAGATAGAATATTATAAACCCTCTGTTTTATAGAAACATGTTTTAACATGATAGATAAATTACATGTGTACGGGCCTCTGAAATAACAGGTCATAATAGCTCTTAAAATTGAATCATTTTTAGTGCTGAATTAAGCAGTGTACACTAGCTACATTTATAGTTAAATATTTTAAATAGTGACAGAAAATGTGGAGAAATGAAATAGTTGTAGATTGAAATATGAGAGGTTGTTAAGGCTTAAATCTGTGCCTTGCTTCAGATTTGAGTGTATTCAGTTTTAACAATTGAGCACTTACAGTATTACAGTCTGAAGAAATACAGGTTTCAGTGTCTTCATTAAGTTCTTAGCAGGTTTGCACCCCTCTCTATACATACACTATTATCTATATATGTACTTTGTGTTTTTATACTATTTTCATAAATTGTATGCATATACATATAGATATAAAAATTTAATGCTGTTTTTGTTGAAAATCATACCATCGTCTTTATTCAGGTGTTCAGATTATAACAGCAGTTTAAAATTTTTATTGAGAAAGAGTGTATTTAATTGGTGAAAATTTTTAGAAAACTAAATTTAAGTGAAACACTTTAAAATACAAAAATACCAACAGACTAATGTACCACTTACATGTTTCTCAAAGTAGTAGTCCTAGGCATGTGTAGCCAATTTGTCCATACAGTCACAGATTCCAGTAGATAGCATTTGCAAAGACCACAGAGAATTACAACTGAAGATGAAAATATCCAGTTGAGTACTAATAACAGACAGGTTCTGAGGGGACAGGCTTAGAAGTGACAATCTTTTCTTCAAAACTGTGATTAGATCTTAAATAAGCAGACAGGCAAAGTAAAACCATGGGTACAGTTAATAGGACTCAAGAGGCATTTTATGGTGGGGTCTGCACTGTAGGATTTAAATACAACTTGAGTTAGGCGTATAAATCCTTCTATAAAATATGTTGATGTGAAACATAAATACTAGTAAACATGCAGTAGGATGTCCTTTAGATAACGGGCATAGCTTTGTGCTACTTTTGTTCTTCTTCCTCACTCTGTTTCTTTTTTTTTCCCCTGTTTTTGACCAGATGCCTTTTGAAATATGAATTAAGAGGAAAATGATGGCTGGTTTGATTATTGTCACAGTAGTACCTCTCTAGAATGTCATTTTTAATATGCGACTTGTCTAACAAACTTTGAGAAGTAGAAAAACAGAGCAAACCCCATTGTACCTGCAGTTATTATTCATAAGAATTGTTTATTGTTTAAGTATGTGCTAGGTATAATGTACTCATCTCATAGTTTAACGTTCTGATTTTGGCTTCCCTGAGTCATTTTATTGTGGGCCTTCAAATAAACAAATCAAGTTTGTTGTAGCTTTTTCTAAAGGAAGCAAGATAAATGATCACTGGTTTTAATCATTTCTTTCAACTTGGCAGCTACATAAAGTGTTGCTAATGCTTAAGAATAGGTATGTCAGATGAGTAAAATCACAGAATAAGTTTCCACTAAAATGGCACGAATATTTACCAGGGAAAGTTAATAATGAGCAGTTTTAGAATATATACAAAGAGCAACTGGGTAAGTTAAATTGTTAAGTTACATACGTGGTGTATTTATAGAAAGTAAATACACTAAGTTATACTTCATTAGGTTCTTATAAGCAATTATTTAGAGTTTAGACAGTTCTGTTATTTGCTTGATGAACTATGTTGTTGTAATCTTTATATAGAAATGGGAAGTTTGACTTAAATCAGGGAGTTATTTCTCATCCATGTATCAAGACAGAATGACAGTACTCTATAATATATTGTAATATATACTTGGTGATAAATGGATTGGGTGCTGTCACAAGTCATTAGGTCGGCTTTGAAGATGTATGACTAGAACGTAAGCAACTTTTTATCTTACTGTCGATATTTATGAATTTATAAATATTACTAAAGTGAATATAGATTTTTACTATTAAAATATGATGGAAACTGTAATCTGCTCAGATTTGTTTCTTCTGCTTTTTTTGTCTTACGGTGAATATTCTGTCTTGTATGTGTATATTTGTATACTTCTGACGTTTTCACTTTCATTTTTTTCCTTGTACGTTAAAATCAGTGTTTCATACTGGAATGTATAATGCATGAAAAAAGCATATCCTTGATTAAATACATTGACAGATTATTCTGCATTAGATGTAGAATTTTATTTTTATATTAAGTTTGTAGAATTAATTGTTTGTGTCACTAAGGTCAAAATAGTTGCTAAAAAACCATGATTGCTTTACAGGGTAGATTTGAGCTTGCATTTTGAGTATTCATTAAGTCAGTGCTACGAAGATAATCTTTTTAAAATGTTTTATGGGAATTTATTGCTTAGAAGCTGTTTCAGTTGACTATGTATAAAATTATTTTTCCAAAGCAGTTTTATTTCTTTGGTATATCACTTATTACAAAATACAAATACTATTTCCAAAAATAAAAATTTGATGCTAGCATTTAGATTATCTTGATGATGTAAAAATAGAAGTTTTACTTTCTTATGTGTGATTATTGTGATTATTATTTGTGGGTTTTTTTCCTTGTGATTAAGGAGAAGGAAGATAACGGGGGAGTTTGTTTATCTTATGAGGTCTTGAATTAGGTGTTGACAAAGCTTGTGTTTCTGTATGTTGGACAGTAGTGCTATTTACTAAACCACTAGAAACTTTCATTTTTACTCCTTGAAACAGAAAATTTATTTTCTCATACCGTACAGGATGTTTCTATTATAAAGTGATATAAAACCCTGCAACTGTTACACCTGTGGCAAAAACTGATGCCATAAAGAGCACTGATGACATGTAAGTTAAATAGAAAACTTCCTATTGCATCTAATGATACTTATTGTTATCTGAATTGACCACGGCATATTCGACTGAAAAATGCTCCTTCCTAGTGATTTGAAACAGAAGTTAAAATCATGGAAAATTTTGCAGAAGGGATAGAGGCTCTCACATCACAAGTTCAAAAGGAGCAAAATTCTGTTAGGTTTATTCATATGAATTTCAGAGCAGGTATTACCAAATTAGCAGATGCTGAACTAGCAAAGGAAAGTATGTTTTACAAATGCAGGCACACACATGGTCTAATCTTTAATTTGTTATAGAATTGAGAATGTCCTAAAATACCAGAATGTAATTTCACCAAAGTCCTGATATGTCCCTAGAACTATTTCTTATTATTAGTCTTTATTTTTTTGAGTCCTGCTCTGTGCTTCTGTACACACAGTTTTTTTCCCGCAGTTGAATTATTGGAGAAGAGCTAAATTCAAACGCAGGCTGTCTGTCCACCTACTGACACTAAAGCTGGAATAAAAAGAGCATATTTCATTTTCCACATCTACCATCCTAATCTTTGATGAGTCCCTTACTGCCTGATTTTGCAAAAAATCTGAGCACATGGCTATTTAATATAGCTTCCAGGAGGTGGGTCTCGTTGGGACCACGCCTCAGTGTTTCCACCTGTGAAATGGGAATGATAATATGTATCTGGCTTACATATTTGTTTCTGAAACAATTAATAAGCTAGACACTTGACTACATGAGCCAAACGATCTAATTAAATATTATAAAACCCCCCATCATATCCCAATGTGTTATTTTAATGTGAATACATATTTTCAGACATAAGGTTTGTAAAAATGTCTGCTGCTTGTGCAGCCATATAGTTTTCTAGAGCTTTCCTTCAAATAGATATGAACATAAAGACAATGTTCATCACAAGAATATATAGTAACACCCAAATGTGTATATTCGGACAAACTGTTATAATATCGTGGAAGGATTTGTAGAAAAGCACATTGAAATAAGTGTACCTACTTTTTTCCTAAGGAGAAAATAAGTTTAATAGATCTAAACCTAAATT